GAGACCAGCATAGGGCTCTCTGCTAAGCTGGGAGTCTGCTTCTCCCTCTCACTCTCCCTTTGTGCTCTCCCTTCTCTCTCTCTCAAATAAATAAATAAAATCTTTAAAAAATAAATAAATAAAAGCTAGTTTATTCCTCACCCTTCACCAAAGAAATACTGTTTCCACATTTCTGAAATGGAAAACGACCACTTTGCCCTGCTGCTGATAAGCCAGATTTTGCTCTCAATTACAGCAACTTTGTCAACACTTAGTGATAGCATGTATTCTTACTCCTTTTTCCTTAATCCTATTTCATCTTTTTACTTGTGTTTTTATTAGCTTATTTTGGTTATAAACCATCTCAAGCCCTTTTGGAAAAGAGGTGGGATAAACCATTGAGATGGTTATAAACCATCTCAAGCCCTTTTGGAAAAGAGGTGGGATAAAATAAATTTTAGAAATACTTGGGAACTGGGGCGCCTGGGTGGCTCAGTCGTTAAGCGTCTGCCTTCGGCTCAGGTCATGATCCCAGGGTCCTGGGATCGAGCCCCGCATTGGGCTCCCTGCTCCGCGGGAAGACTGCTTCTCCCTCTCCCACTCCCACTCCTCCTGCTTGTGTTCCTTCTCTTGCTGTGTCTCTCTCTGTGTCAAAATAAATAAATAAAATCTTAAAAAAAAAAAAAGAAATACTTGGGAACTAACATATTAACTACCTACCACATGCCAGGGATTTACATGCATTAACTTAAACCTCACAATAAGCTAGTAGGTTGGTGTGATTATCTCCATTTTATTTAAGTGTTAAGGGACTTGCCCAAGGTCACACAGCTGCTAAATAATGAGCCAGGATTCAAAGCCATGTTTCAAAACCAAGGTAAGCCTGACACCAAACCTGAGGGCTTTCCCCTAAGCCAACCCAAGTTTGTGTGATAGATGGTCAACTATTCACTTAGCTAGTTTAGGAGAGTTTTTGTACTTTGAACTCCTCAAATCTGTTTTGGAAAAACAAACAAACAAACCACTGGTCTTTTTCTTTTCTCCATAGGCCATTTATCAATTGTTTTATGTACCACTAAGAAGAAAAAATACTAATTAAACTCCAACACTGCAATGAATTAAACTACCATTGATTCTAGGATGCATCCCCAGAGCGCCTGGGTGGCTCAGTCGGTTAAGCTTCTGCTTTTGGCTCAGGTCATGGTCTCAGGGTCCTGGGACTGAGCCCTAGGTCGTCGGGCTCTCTGCTCAGCAGAGAGCCTGCATCTCCTTCTCCCTCTACCTGCTTGTGCTCTCTGTCTCTCCGTCAAATAAGCAAATAAATAAATAAAATCTTTAAAAAAAATGTATCCCTATTTCAGAGATGTCAAAATGTAGAAAGAAATTGTGTGTGTTAGAATCAATGAAGCAAAGAAGTCCATTCTACTAACAGAGAATGTGTATACATAACCTCCCCTTCTCTCTACTTGCTGGCTGGTTTGCCCCTTCCTTTTCCTTGCCAAACCCTTGCCTGTCCCTTCTGTATCTCATTTCTCCATGTCATCATGAACTAGGTGATACTGATTTGGAGTATCTCCTGTGAGTCTCCAGAAAGCCTTGCACTTACAGACAGTCTCCACTCTAGTTTGTTTAAAGAGCAACTCTAGATGCTCTCATTATGAACTTCCTCCAATGATTGTCAACCAATTCTTTCCCGAGTCTGGCCTAAATGTAGTCTTCCCCTGGCACCTGGTGATTCACTGCCCTCCCTGTTCACCATCCCACACAGTAGTTGGTTGGTTCGTCTGTGCACTATTTATTTGCAAGGGATTTCCCTACAGGCTGTTGGAGTGGGCATGGGAGGGGGCTTGGGAGCAGAAGCTGAGACTGTCATCCAGTTCTCCCTAACACAGGAAACATGACTCCCCAGGCATCTCTGAAACACCAGGGCCTTTCCTTTCTCCGCTCCCAGAGAAGGCAGGATTGGAGGAGGATTAAGCTTCTCCATCCCTTAGACCTTACTTCCCCTTCCTGGTTTGGGACTCCATGAGACAAACTGTGAAGGGAAGACAGGGTAGCGGAATTTGGTACTGCTAAGGGTGATAGGGATTCCTGAGCGGTGGGCCCTGTGGACTTGGGGTCCAGGCTCCTGACAGCAGCTGGCTTTTCTGAGTTGGTGTTTTGCTTCCACCTTGGAGTGCAGGGTAGTGGGCGAGGTCCTGATGCTGGCTCTCCATTGCTAGCGTTAGAAAAGGGACACATCCATCCAGGGAAGGAATTTCCCTGTCCTGTTCCCTTCAATCTGATTTTGAGGTAAAAGTCGGGAAAGGAACAGAGGCTGATTGGAACTGTTGGGGACACCAGTGGAGGGAGGGATGCAGCCCATGCTGAGGACCAAGAGGCTAATCTGGGATTATTGACAGGGGACTCTGGTGGGCAGACCTAGCCTCGCCTCAGTATTCTGGGCATGTGACAGGCTGTGAGCCTTGGACATGGGCTAAGGTCCACATGGGTCTGTCTGCCTGTCGAACTGAAGGGTCCTGTGGCGTGGCACAGACAGACATAGAGAAAGAGAGGTAAGTGGAGACAGAGGGAGTGGAGAGTCAGAGGCCGGGCAGGGAGGTCTAGACAGTGAGGGGGGGCCTCGCTTTCCGAGGCACAGAGGCCGGAGCGCTCCCAGCGCAGTGGTCTAAGCTCCCCGGACTGCAGCAGGCATCGGACTTCCTCCTGAGCTTTCTGGGATCTTGAGGCTGCTGGCGGAGTCTTGGCGCTCGCCGCAGTTTCCCCCAGAGCCTCTGCCAAGCCCTGGCACCTTGAAGCGCGGGCCTCGGCTCGGATTCAGAAGCCGGCCCAGGACTTCCCCGCTGCCGCCGCTCCAGCCCCGGCCGCTCGGCCCCCTCCCCGCCTGACGAAGGGCCTGCCCTCACCCGTGACCTCCGCGGCCGACTCCGAGGCGCGCCAGGCCCGGTCCAGCGCCCGCTGCCCGCCAGGCCCGGACGAGCAGGGCGCCGGTGAGCGGAGGGGCCGCGCCCTGGCCGTCGCGCCCGCGCGGGGAGCCCGGGAGCAGGAGCGCGCGGGCCGGAGCGCGTAGGTGTGAGAATGTGTGAGGGGCATGGTCGGTGGACGAGCGCGGGGCTGTGAGGCGCCGTGCGCCCGCCCCCGGGACGCGGGCTTACCGAGCCGCTGCGCGCACGGCTGGGAGCGGGTCTCGGACGGAGGTTTGTGCGGGCGCCCGCGGCCTGGGGCTCGGCGGAGGGCGGCTGTCTGCCAGGGGGCCCAGGCCCGACCAGGCCCGGCCGCGCCGCGCCCCAGTGTGCGGGCCGCGCCGCCGGTGCGGGCGTGCCGTCCTGGTTGTCGAGTCTAGGTGCGAGCCGCACGGCCCGGCCCGGCCCGGCCGCTCTCTCTCTTCCCGCCCCTCTAATCTAAACCATGCGGGGCTCCCAGCCCGGGCCCGGCCGGCGGGGCCCAAGGGCCGCAGGAAGGGCACCAAGCCGCGCGGTGGGGGAGCGCGAGGCCCGCTCGGGGCTCGGGGTCCTGGGGCCGCGGAGCCAGGGGACCCTAGAGCCCCCCTCCCCGGGGGGCGGCTGGCGCAGACTGATTGACAGCGGCGACGTCAGCGCAGGGGGGTGGCGGCCCCGGAGGGAGGGAGGGAGGGAGGGAGGGAGGAGGAGGGAGCTGAGGCCCCAAAGTGCAGCGTCGGAGATCAAGGGCCCGCTCCAGAGCCGGGATGTGTTCGGCCCCGAGGGCGCGGCGGGCAGCGGGACACTGACCCAGCGGCCCCGAGTCGGTGCCCCGGCCGTCCCGTGCCCCTCGGACCCGAGCCTGCAGTGGACCTCGGGCCGCAGGGGCCTCCGCATGCGGCAGCGCATTTAGGGTGAGTGTGGGTTCCCGCGGGGTTGGGGGTGAGCCGGGCGTGCGGGACAGGGGCCACCCTGAGCCCAGGGTTAGGCTGCAGGGCAGAGGAGGATGAACTGGAAAAGAGACGAGTAACGGAACCGGTGTAAGAACCTCAGGGACCCTCAAGGCTGCAGGAGGGTGACGAGATGTGCTGCAGATCAGGCTGCCGCCTCGGCCCGACTCCCAGTGTTTTGGGGCGCGAGCCCTCATCTCCTCTGAATAACAGGATGAATTGGGTCTGGGGACCCAAAGGCAAAGAAACGACAGCGCCAGCGCCAAAGGAACAAGGTTAAGCCGTGACAAGCGGAGCGGTGGTCTTGAAACTGGTGTTTGCAGAATAAGAAAGGCCAAGAAGAGGGCCCGGGTACTTGCAGCGATATCCATGTGGGAGTGTGTGATCAGAAACCTGGACTTCAGAGCCTTTGATGCAACAGGCTCGTCAAAATTAAAGCAAGGAGCATTATATATAAATAATTATAGATGATCAAGACAGAATGTGAACAATTACCAAAGAAATAGGGCTAAGCGGCAAAACTAACAGTGTTCACACTTTAAAACCAGAGTAAAATAGTGGTCACTTTCAGAACCAAGTGAAAATTGTAATCACAGATTTAAAAGGATTATAGACAAAGTAACTCCAAATATAGGAACAATGTGATAAGAACCCTTGTATTAAAAGCAATAATAATAGTATAGGAAATAGTAACAAATGACAAAACTGTAGGAAAAAAGTGAACAATTGAAAATACTATTAAGGGAAATACTAATATTAGTAGTAGTGATGGAATACTATCATATAATTTAATATTGATACTATAGTGAATTATTAAATAATAACCAAAATCTTTAGAGCAATACTAATACAAACAAAGAGAGCAACAAGAATTGCTGGAATAATATGACAATTTATTACCAAGGTATTGATAGTCCCCACAACATTATAAATAATGGTGGAGTTATAAGAAGTATCGTGCCAATGTGATGAAAAATAATCAGAGTATTAGGAACTACAGCAATATCACAAATTATGACAAAGTAACAAGGAGTAATGATGTGATGAAAAATAGCCAGCGAATTAAGATCGTAATTACAAATAATGACAAAGTAACAAGATATTGTAACGATGTGATGAAGAATACCTGGAATACTGTGGACAATTCTAACAAAACAAATGACTAACAAGAAGTATTATAAGGATGTGAAGAAAATTAACATCAATATTGAGAACAATAATATTACAAGTAATGGTAAATAACAAGTTATTGAAACTGTGACAAAATACAGAGACCGAGGAGCCAGCAATGGAAGCATTTTAGGGGTACAGAATAAAAATTAAAATAACAATAGATTATAATGACCTATTGGAATACGATATCTAATAATTACCTATTAGTAACAGTATCACTAAGGTACCAGGAGGCCCTAGAATGATGGAGCAGTGGCAGGAAAGTAACAACATATTTAATAATGATGAATTAACAAATCAAACCAGTACTTTAATTTTACAGTATTAAAAATTAAAAGTACTAATAATTTATGTGCTAGGATATCCTTAATGTCATTGAACTGAACAGAATACTGCTCTGATAATAGAGATAATTAAAATATTTAAAATAATACAAAATGTTAATTTCCCCCAGTGCGAGAAAAATACCACCAGTAATCTAGAGTGAAAAGTAAAATGCTCTTCTTAGAAAACGAGTTGGCTGAAAGCGACGGACCGAGCGAAAGGGCGCCCAGCCTGCGGGCCGCGTCCACGGAGGGGTCCGCGAGAGGGGCGAGCGCGGAGGCTGCGGGCCGCGCGGGCCGCGGGCTCCAGCTGGTGCGGAACCCGGCTGTGCCGTTCGCGCCGGGGCTCCAGGTCCGAGGGGAACCATGGGGGCGGCCACTCTGGGCCAGCCGGGAGGGAAGAAAAGGAAACTAGCGGGGAGCTCCAGCCAGGGCGAGGGCCAGCTGTCGCGATGTCGGGATGTGTCTCCGGGGCCGAGAGAAAAGGAAGAAGCGAAGGAGAGCACCACGCACGCCGCCCTCGTCTCGGATCGGAGCCGTGGGACTGGCGTCAGTGGATGCCGGCCGCGGCCGTGCTCCGTGCACAGGACTGAGAGCGCCGGGCGTGAGTCAGACTGCGGCCCTGCATGGCTCCTGGTGTGACAAGTGCCCCGTAGAGGACCCAGTGGCCAAGACAGCATTGCGCCAGGCGGCGCGTCCTCCCGGCCCCGCGGTCCGCCGCACCTGGGACCAGCCGATCGCGGCGGCCCATCCCGCTGGCCCTAGATACAGTTGGAACCAGCGTGTTGGGCCAGAGCGTGCAACTCCCCTCGTCGAGCAGTGTCCCCTTGGCCGGGGGGGGCTCCGGGTTTCCTAGGCCTGGCTCGGAACCCGCATGTGGCCCAAGGCGGGTACAGGCGCTAGCCATGCCGGGCAAGACTTGTTTCCTGCTGCCTGTGGCTGGAGGCCTGGGAGGGCTGTCAGCTTTATCTTTATGGGCTTTTCCCAGCCCCAACTCGCCCAGGCCCCTTTTTATCTCCCTGGGTTGCACTTGGCTTGTTTACTTTGTGAGGCCCTGGGAGCCAATGTCTAGGACCTGGGATGGGGAGGCCAGTGGGCAGGATGGTCAGAGGCCTGGGCCTTGGGATGCTCAGGGAGACCCAGGAGAGAAAAGAAAGAAGACAGGAAGAGAGGCAGCCAGGCACATAGAAAGACCCACCAGGTGCCAAAGAAGGGAGAAGAGCAGGGAGGTGGAAAGGAGAAGCAGAGATAATGCAGGGGTGCATCCATGATGGAGGCAGGAAAGGCAGGTCCTGCTGCCTGGGCTCTCAGCCTGATATCTCAGTACCAACTTCTAGAAGGGAGCAGGCACTTGGGGCAGGCTGGTGAATAGTTTTGGACACTTGCGGAAGGACGGCTGTGCCTGGGAGCAGGACTAGGTTGTGCCTGTGACCTGGACCCACCCAACAGGCCTGGTCCTTAGCTAGGAAGGGTCTCAGTCCTTTGCCCCAAAGCAGAGCCCTTTGGAGCTAAAGTGTGACTGAGTGAGCCAGCGAATGTGAATGTGTGGGCAAGGCTGTGAGGCCCCTGGCTGAGTTCAAGGCCTGAATCAGAGCTGCCCTAGGAGAGTGTGGCTGCTTGAGTGACTAGAAAGCTCTGTGTGGGTGCTTGTGTCTGGGTGTGAGGCTGTGTGTGCCTGTGTGAGGGACCCAGAAGCTGTCTGTGGGAGTGGGAATGTGCAGGAGTGAAAGCCTTTGGTTCAGGAAGGCTTTACCTGACTGCTGTCTAAGGGAGTGGGTTAGGGCAGATGGGTGAGCAAGGGCCTGAGGGACTGCCCAGCCCTAGGCTCTTTCTGCAGGTGTGGAGCCCCAGGAGCTTGGGCCCTGCCCTCCTGGCCCGGCCGTCCTCTGGTGCCTACCCAGGAAGTGTCCTGGCTGCCCTGACCCAAGAGTGGGCCTGGACCCCAGTTATTAGGAAACAGCGAAAAGAGACCCAGGCCTCAGGCTCCACTGGAGCCGAGCAGGAGGGAGGGACTGGGGGTGCAGCTGGGGCAATGCCGAGAGGGCGGTCCTTCCCCCAGGCCTGCTCATCACACAGCCCCACACCCAGGAGCAGGCAGACCTTGAACCGCACACAGACCCTCCCAGGTTCAGAACCCAGAGGGAGGAGGCCACGGTCCTACCCTCCGCATTTTCTCCCTCCCGCAGCTCAGAAGGGGGCGGTGTCCACGTGCGCCTTTCCCTCCCGGGCCCGAAGTCCCCCGGCCGGGCTGGAGCGGGCTGTGGGGCCTCTGGCGAGTGTGGACCCGGGCATGTGACTCGGTGTGTGCTGTGCCCGCAGGAGATGCTGCAGGATAAGGGCCTGTCGGAGAGCGAGGAGGCCTTCCGGGCCCCGGGCTCGGCGCTGGGCGAGGCCAGCGCTTCCAACGCCGCCAACGCCCCCGAGCCCGCGCTGGCTGCGCCGGGCCTCAGCGGAGCCGCGCTCGGCAGCCCCCCGGGCCCCGGCGCCGACGCCGCCACCGCCGCCGCCGCCGCGGAGCAGGTAGGGCCCGCTGGCCGTCGGGCAGAGGTCGGGCGTCGGTCTGTCTGCAGGGCCGCCTGCGTGTGCCAGTCTGCCCCGCAGAGGACAGGACTCGCTTCCCGGGGGACCTGGCTGCGTCCCGGACTGCGTGTTCTCCTCCGCGGGGCAGGGCTCGCGCTCTCTGCCTTGCGTCCCTCTTCGGCTTCGCGCCCTCGGGGCTACTCTGGGACAGGCGGGGGAGGGCACCCTTGTGGCAGCGGGGCGAGCCCGGGCCAAGTGTCCAGCTCCGACGACGCCGAGAGGGCGGGGGTCGGGGGCGAAAGCTCTGGCACCGGGAGCGAAGAACGGATCCCAGCCGGGTGAGAGCGGGGAGCGGCCGCGCGGATGTCGCTCAGAGGGTCACAGTGATAACCTGATGATCGCAATAAAAGGAATCCGTCTGTGCACGCCCTCGGCCGGCATGGGTCTGCGTAGCGTCTGCGGGTGCGCGTGTCCCTCCTGTGTCTGTCCGAAAGTCTGTGGCTACGTCCCGCCACGTGGAGTGTTTATGTTTGTGTAGTGTGTCATCTACCCTGTCGCGGTCAGGATGTGTCCTCTGCGTACCACAATAGGTGCAACTCCGAAGGAGTGGGTCTCAGCTACTGATTACATTTTGAAAAATTTACCAGTGGTACAGTATAATTTTATGAAACGAAACGGTCCCGGGGCTGGCAGCACTCTGCATAGTTCCTTGAGTCTGTGTTCTCCGTCCTGAGGGCTCCTCGTGGAGCCGTGGCCCAGGCCGACAAAAGTCCCCTTCCCTCTCATCCCTAGACCATCGAGAACATCAAGGTGGGCCTGCATGAGAAGGAGCTCTGGAAGAAGTTCCACGAGGCAGGCACCGAGATGATCATCACCAAGGCGGGCAGGTCAGCGCTGGGACGTTTACTTGGGGGATGGAAGATGACTGGTGGGAGAGATGGGGATCCCCTTGGACGCTCTCGCCTTAGCCCCGCATCCTACCACGGTTTGCTACTGGGCGCAGAACTTCACCCGGGGAATCCTCCTCTAGGAAGCCCAGCGGGAGGGAAGGAAGGGAGGGGTAGCACTATGCAAATAAAATGCAAATAAGGATCACGACGTCGGAGGTCCCGGTTCCAGCACTATCCTGCTTTGTCCTCCTCCTTTTGGGGACCTGCCTGGTTTCTCAGGATTGCATTGATTGGGGACCCGGAGATGGCCCTCAACAGATGGAGGGAGGGGACCTGTGTTTTCCTATTTCCATAATTTTCCGGGGCAGCGTGCACCCCAGATCTCTCATCCCAGGGGTGCTGCTCCTCTGTTGACAGCACCCCCCCCCCCCCCCCCCCCGCCCCTCAGCCAAGGGAAAGGGCCCGGTGTGTTGTTTAGGGAGCAACTCTCGGGTGGCTGCCAGAATAATGATTTATAAAGTGGAAACATCTTTAAAATGCGCTGGTGTCTGTGGGAGAGAGCCTGGAGGAAAGCGTGAGAGGAGGAAGATGCAGCCAGGGCAAGATGAGAGAGAGAGAGCGAGAAGAGAGAGGAGAGAGATTCAATGGGGCCAGGAGTCTTGGGCGGGCGGGGCAGGAGGGGCTAGGCCAGCAGTTATCAGTGAAGGGGGATTGCTGCAGATAGTGAAGCTGGAAAGTTCAGGTGTAGAAACTACCCCTTCCCCACCTACTCCCATTTGATTTTAATCCCTGAGGGGAACAGGGTAGGTGTGAAAATGTGCTGTTGTCTGGCCATGGGCCCATGATTGGGTTTTCCAAGGAATAAGGTGGTGAAGCCTTAAGGGCCAGCTGCTTGCCTCTGTGCAACCCTCAGGCTAGGTGCTGCAGGGTCTCTGCCCTCTCCTCGTCCCCCTCTGCAAAACCATACATACGGTTGTATGCAAAGCACTTAGCACAGCTCCTGGCACATGTAAGCGTGCCATAAATGCTAGCTAAAATTAATCGTAATTAGAGAAATGTCTGGCATCCACTTAGCATTTTTCTTCTACTTTTTAAAGAACTCTGCCGAACTGCTCAGAGACCGGTGGGCTGTTCAAAAGAAAAAAAAAAAAAACCTGGTAGTTTGCAGTGTGTAGTGGAGTAGTCCTGTGGTCCCTCGTGTCCTTTCCCTGGCAGGACTTGCAAGGTTTCCTCTGTTTTGTTGGGGGTAAAGTCTGGCCACTTGGCCACCCCAGCCTGGTAGGTGGCAAGGCCACCTGGAGCCTCTATCAGGAGAAGAAGCAGGGGGATATCAGGGCCTGAATTTGCTGCATTTGGGAGATGGGGAAGGAGGATGCATGAAGGGAACCTGGTAGAGGGTGCCGCTTAGAATAGTCCTTGAGGACTGTGGGGAGCCAGGTGTCACAAGCCTTGCCTCTTCCTAGCTGAGTGCACTTGAGCACATCTCTAAGCTTCCTGTGGTGTTGGCTAACACAGAGCTGGTGACTGTAGACTTACCTGCCAGCCTTCCTTTCTCAGGCACTCTGAGACTCAAACCAGGGGTCCTATGAGCTACTTATGGTAAATTGTTGAGTGGATTATAGGTGTGAAGAGGGGGAATTTATTTCTTGTGACTGCCGGGGTGGAGGGAAGGAAAGAAGAGAGAGAAAGATTCAGAATTTCCCTTTTTAGGCAGCAGAAATAACCTTGTCTTTTGAAAATAAATGGTCAGCATGTTCTTGGGGCAAGCCTGGCCTCTGGCATTGAAAACAAAAGGCATTTGTGATTCTCCTCAGTGGGGTTTCCTGCATCTGCATGGGTCCTCCTCCTTCCCTCCCCCCAACACAGACACACACACACATACACTTCCATAGGTACCAACATCAGGCAGATGTTTGTGCCCGATTCCTAGTGAAGGCTTAGAGATGGGCCTCAGGGAATGATGATAATAATTTTTAAATGGCTGTGATGAAGTTGGCCAATTAGGGTTTCATCACACCCTTTCATTTCTCTGGCGGAAAGTTATTCGTGCAACAGGTCTAGTCCTAAAGAAAGTCACTAGCCTCATCGCCCCTCCCCACTGTTCTCACAGACCCTCTTTCCTCCTGCATAGCTGCTCACTGACCTCAGAGACCAAATTCAGGACTCTGATCCCCGTGGCCCCCTCCGCCTTACTGCCTCCCTCGCCTGGGCAGCCTCAGGAGGCAGCTTGCTTTGCTTGGGCTCGGTTGCTCTTCAACATCCTGTGGACTCCCAGTTCTCTTCTTTGTGTCTCTACCAGCACCCTTCTTGGGACACCTGCATTTCTTAGCAGATGGCCTGGACCCTTCTCCTGAACCTTGAATCACAGATTCCTAGACTGCGTGAGCTGGAGGAGAACCAGGGGAACGTAAACCTGACCCCAGAGAAGGGAAGGCACTTGGCTCTTATAGATAGAAGCAAGATTAGGCAGTTCCCGAGTCTACACAAGCCAAGCTGATGATACTCCACCCCCAGAACAAAACCCCAACTTTGAGAAATTCCCCTTATGGCTTATTTACAAGGCCATTCAATGTGGGGTTGTTGCTCTACTCTAGAGACCCTGGCTGGTTAGGGGCATGGTCATTGCTGTCTGGTTGAGGGAGAGGCAGGCCCTGGAAAAGGGGAACCCAGGATGTTCCCAAGCTAGTTTGAGTCTTTGGTCACAAGCCTCTTGCCTGAAGCCCTGAAGGTCTTAAGGCCGAGGAGAGAATAATCCCCTTCATTGGATAGTGGCTTTGGATTCTCAAACCATTTGATCTGGGGAATAAAATGCCAATCACATTGGGAGACATCAATTTCTGAATGCTCAGTAACCCCTGATGTCAGGTGTAAAATGGGCCAGAATCCTCCCAGCCAGTTTCTGTCCCTCTCAGTCTCCTGAACTCACAAGTTTTAAGCCATTCACTGCATCGAGCAGACCCCTCCTGTCTCTACCTCCTTCACATCCCTGCCAAGCTTGAAACATGTGAGAAACTGCATTTTCTCCCAAACATAGATAAAAGCGAGCTCCACAAAAATTTAAATATAAACCTCCCCAAAATGAAAATTTCCTAACCGTTTGACTGCTCTCCTCCTAGGTCATGGTTTTGCCACCAGATAAATCTCCACTATCAGCCTTCATAGCCTGTTGAGTTCAATGTTGCTTGTGTTAGTGACAGTGAATTTGCGTTTGAAAAATGAACTACCGATGAGAACTCCTGTTGAACCTGTATTGTTTGTTATTCTGAGGCAAGGATTTGGCCCAGCTTAATCCGGGGCTTCAAAGCCAATTGCCCTTGCTCTGTATACAGAGCGTCAGAACCCAGTGGCGTGGATGATAAGACAAGTAAGGGTTGAAGACACTGGGAAAGTGGGTTGGAGAGAGAGTCCTTTGATCTCTTTCTAAAGTATTTTCTGAAAGCAAAAGTCTATCAGAAGGAAGTGTCTTTAAAAAAGAATCTGAGAAGCAACTGATCTTCCAAAACAGCATTCATTCCACACACCCTCACTCCTGCCCCCCACCTCAGGGAAAATATTTCTTAAAAATGCTTTGAGTGAATTAGAAAACTCTGTGTGTGTGTGCGTGTGTGTGTGTAAAGTGGGAATAAATTATGAAGCTTTGCCATTGCTCTCAGAAATAATTAGGCTCTAGAAGGTTTGGTCTCAGTATAGGCAGCATCAGCAACACAGCTCCCCGCTCCCCCAGGAAACTGAGCCTTGGCTGATGGGCCTTAACCTCTTCCCAACATACTCAGAAATGTCTCTCAAGATTCCCAGACACTAGGGATAGGAAGAAGGGTGGGGTTTTCTGTGGACCCCCATCCTTTGCCTGCAACCGGTTCCTTTCAGACTCTGGGCTCTGCTGCTGGTGTGCATATATATATATATATATGTGTGTGTGTGTGTGTGGACACGCACACATATGATATACACACGGGTGTAATTTTCAATGTCCATTTTATTGAAGTGGAACATTCCTGCAGAAAAATGAACAAATCTTAATTGTACAGCTCTATAGACTTTCACAAATAGTACCCCCAATCATGGCACCACCCAGATAAAGAAACAGAAGAGAATCCTCTTGTGTGCATTCCCACCCCACCAACCCCCGCCCCCCCTCGAAGCCCCTCTCCGGCCTTCTCACCCCTTGGATTTGGTTTTGTGCCTACGTTTAAGGGAAGGCACATCTAGCTGCTCCTGGGGTTTCCGGGCCCCCAGAGAAAGTCGGGTGCCTTCGGGTTTGGGGTTTGGTGGCCTGGCTAGGTGGAGAGAATCTAGCTGGTCTCCTAGGTCCGGCTTAATCCCTGCACCCCCCCTTCTGGATTGGTGAGGGGCTCGCGTAGGTCAAGGTCAGGAATTTGGCGAGGGCTTAGGCCGGGGAGCCGGCAGCCCCCCGCGGCTGTCTGAGCCCAGCTGAACTTGCACGTCCCCCCTCAGCAGCGAGCGAGCATCTGAGGGGCTGTTGCCAAGATCACAATGCCCCGAATCCCTTGCCCCGCGCCCCGCAAGCCTCCCACGCCGAGAAACGTCCAAGGAAGCTTATCTTAGCAGTTCATTCTAAAACCATTTCCGAGTATGAAGTAGATAAGGCTCCAGCCCGCACCCTTTCAGAGCCTGTTTCATGATCAGAGGAGAAACCCCCGGCTTTCATCTCCTCCCGGGCGGCGGGGCGGGCGGCTTGTTTATTCCCCGGCGGAGCCGTTTCCGCGGGCGCCCGGAGCGCCCCTCTGCCTGCGGGGCCCGGAGCCCCGAGGGGGCGCCAGGGACGCAGACGGGAGGCCCGCGGGGCGCAGGGAGAGAGTGGGGGAGAGGGCTCGACGGCGCGGGGCTGGGGGTGGGGGGGCCGCGGGGTGTCCGGGACAGGCGAGCCCGGGATTCCCGGCCAGCGCCCGTGGCGGGCAGAGTGGGAGCCAGGCGGCTCAGAGCCCTAACCTCTCTTCCTGGCCCTCCCTCCCCGACCCGCTGAGCTGTTCATTTCCCCCACAGTGGTGGTTTCCAGGTACATTTGCGTCCTGAGTCACAGAAACAATTTACATCGCGCCCCCTCCTTCCATCGGTTTCAGGAGAGAGGGCCTCCCGGTGTAGGGGAGCCCCGAGGAGGTCACAGCTCCCAGACCCAGCCTGCCGTTGGTGGCAGGAGTCACGCCCACCCGGGAGCGCTCCCTTGCTGGGCCTCTGGGCTCCAGCTTTAGCCCCCTCTGGAACCAAGGGCAGATGCCTTCAGCGGGGAGGGGAGGCTGACAGGCTGCATGGACCCTGTGCTTCTCCTGCACACACAGCCTTTCCCCAACCCGTGTGTGCCCTGCATTCTACTGGAGCCCCGCAGGTGGGGAAATGGTAGGGTCCCCAAGGCTCGTGTTCTCAGAAGCAGTCACCAAACTGGACCCCTGACAGATAGGGAGATACCTATTCCTGTGAAAGCAGTGGCGCTCCCTGAACCTGAGTAGTTCGGCCTGGAGCAGTGGACTCTTGAACTCCCGGCTCAGACCAGCTATCCCATCCCCCCTGTCCCTGCCCCTAAGGGCTGCAGCCCTGGGAAGAGAGAAATCGGTAGGCAGCGGAGGCAGAGGCTGGGGGATACCTTCCTTCCCTGCGCCAATTCCTGGCAAAACCTCCCTGAGGGTGTTTTCCGTCAGGAAAACTGTGGTCAGCTGTGGTCAGCTTCTAGGAGAAGCCAAATCACAGGACCGTGCCTTGGGGAGCTGAGCACAGGCTGCTTATAGGCCTCCTAGAAAGCATTTAGCCCGTGTCAGCCTGGCCTCCTGAGCTGCTGAGACGAAGCGTAGTAGGGAGTAGGAGAAGGGGAGGGGCAGGGTCCTTGACCTTCCTCTCAGCCCAGGTTAGGGAGACTACTCCAGTGGCAGGGAGACATTTTCTCCTGCCCCCTTTGTAGATACTGTCCTGGGGGGTGGCCATATCTGCCCTCTGCCATTGCCACCTGAAGTGATTACAGGACAAACAGGCTAAGTGCAGGGCACTGGTGCCCGGTCAGCCCAAGCACAGCCAGGGCTGCCCCATCTTGTGGCAGTTTCTGTAGCGGTTACAAAATGGTGGTCTGGAGGGGACAGGATTCTTGGCCTTCCCCCAGGGAGGAGGGGAGGTGAGGCAGCTGCTGCCCTCCCCGCTTCAGCTTTAGCCCTATCAGGGAAGAGGCTGGGCCTGGAAAGAGGGTGGTGCAGGCTCCAGCTGTGCCCCCAGGCCGGGCAGGGGCTGGTGAGCAGGCGGTACCGGGTTCCTGAGCCCTCTCACTTCCCCCATTCCTGGAGAGGGGGTGGGGTGGACATTTGAAAATGCTTTCAATTGACATCTGAGACAAATTCTTCCACACGGTTTATAAGTCCCTAGACTTGCGGCTAGAACTTCCCTCCTCCCTCCAGGCAGGCACACGTGCACACATGCGCACTCCACTGTGTACTCAAGTACATGCGCTCGTGCGTACACAGGGCCACACGCCTCCCACGTCCCTGGCCCACTGCAGTGCTCTCACGGGCCCTTCCTCCCGCAAGAGAGAGGGCGAGCAGATGGGGGCTGGGCCAGGGGTAGAACTGAACCTCCCACCTCTGGGTCCTCGCCGGGGCTTGCTGTAGGGTCTGCCGGCTTGAGGAGGCCTTGATCCCTTCTGGAAGCCCTGTCCTGTCCAGGTAAGCTGGAACCCCTGTTGACAAAATGGGGGGCTGCAATCACCTGTTTGAGGTGTCTAGGACAGCTTCCCTTGAGGTTCTCTCAGCTTAGTGAGGAGGCAGAGGACCACTTGATGGCTTTCCTTGAGGGGACAGTCTGGGCACTGTCCCAACTCAGGGGATTTGGTTCCTGATGCCCTAGTGTCTTCAGTTAGGTTTGGATCCTGCCTCTCTCTTGGGGGAAACACCTTTGTGGGAGATCAGCTAGGAGAGGGTGGGGGTGTCTGAGAGGATTGTGAGGAAGGTCTGTCTGCCCCTCTGGGGAGGTCCAGTGTCAGGGACCTGGGGACCAGGGGCAGAGCTGTGCCCCTGCGGGTGTGTGCACATGTTGTTGTTCCTGTGTGTGTGCTGAGGGGTCTGGGGAAGCCCTTCTCTAGAATATTCACTGAGCCTCAGGGTCCTGGACAGTCTTAGCATGGGCTGTGGAAACTGGAAAACTTCCTGTTTTTTGGTGAGTCCATTTTCACAGAGGTCGGCCATCCACTGGTTTGTGGAGGGAGGAGTGCAGTGAGGGCCACGGCAAGAGTCACAAATGGACTCAGTGAATCCAGTGAATCCACACACCAACCTATGAGATAGGTGGTAATATCCCTGTTTTAGAGATAAGGAAACCAAGGCACAGAGAGATCCAAGCAAGTTGCCCAATGCCTCACAACCTGTCAGTGGTGTGGCCAAGGCACAGTGGTCCTAGAATCTTTTCTCCATGAGGCTCCTGAGCTGGCTTCCCCTGGTCCCCGGTGAGTGTGCACAGGCCCAGGCATGGTCTTCACACAGTTAAACACTTCTGCTAAACACCCCAAAGGAATCCAGAGACCTAGCAGCGCTCTCCTGTTTGCCTGTGAGTTGGTTTGAGGCCCGAGGGCTTCCACAGAGGCAAGGCCCAGAGGAGACACTCCATTGATTACAGAAGCAGCTGACAGGGACTTCGAGGTCTTTTGCTCTGGCCCCTGTTAATGGCAGCCCAGAACTTTAGTTGCATATGGACTGGCAAAGGGCAGGAGGGAAATTAAGCAGCCAGGTTGCTGTTGAAATCCTCTCTCATGACCCCGAGGGTTTCTATGCTTTAGCTGCTCACAGCCAGTAGGCCTAAATATTAGGGGATCGTGGGGAAGAGGGAATTGCACTGGGGAAGCCAGGTAAGCCCTCTTCCTAGACACAACTCCCGGGGCTCAGAGCAACTGGTGCGGCCCTTCCCTTGTGTAGGGGGAGGCTGAGGCGAGAGAGGGAAGGGCCTTACCCAGCTCACACACGTTCTGATCAGGGGCCAGTGTCCCTTAAGGCCTTCTGTCCCCTCACCCCTGTGTGCCATCTCTCCCGGTGCTGTCTCTGCCTTTGCCTCACACCTTGGCTCCCCCCAGGAGGATGTTCCCCAGCTACAAGGTAAAAGTCACAGGCATGAACCCCAAGACCAAATATATCCTGCTGATTGACATCGTCCCTGCAGATGACCACCGCTACAAATTCTGTGACAACAAATGGTAAGAACCTGGGGCCCTCACATCCCCTGTCTTCTCTCACCACACCCACCCCACCACCTGATGTTTGGTCCAGGGGCTCACCAGCTAGTTCCAGTGATTGCCCAGACGTGCGGCATTGGGAACTGAGCCTGCAGGGGCTGCAGGGTTGGCAAATGTCTGCCCACCTGCTGCAGATGGGGCTGGGGCTGGAAATGAGTTGCAGTGTTTGAGTGTTTGGTAGCTTTCAAGAGTCTGTTCTCTCCCTACAGCTGTGGACAGACAGGACTGGTGACTATGCTGTGGGGTGAGAGATGGACAACAACACTGGATGAATATAGGCTCTGGTCGGGCCGCGCTGGGGAGGAGGATGGGAGCTGTTTCTTGGGGGACTTTGATATTGGATGGTTAGCACCCAGATGCCTGGTCTGTGGCATCTTCTGCTGCTTTTCCACTTGCTCCTTGTCTGGCTGTGAGCCCTTCCTTTAAGCTGTTGATCCACAGTGAAGGGCAGCCGCCTGGTGGTTGGATGACAGGATGCCTTGGCAAGGGGTTGGGGGAAACAAGTGGGTTGTAGGGCAAAACGGGGGCCGGACAAATAAACACTGGGCTGCTTTTTCTAAGGCCACCTCCTCTGTACCCTGTCTGTCCCCAGAGCCCAGGACAGCACTCAAGGAGAGAGAGGGATTGAATGAATTAGCAGCCAGCTGGGATGTGGGCTCCACAATGGGTTGGTAGTAGGGTCAGCAGAGACTGGGCTGAGGAGGCCAGGTCCTGTCGAGGGCCATGTTTCTATTTCTTCTCTCTTCGGGTTGGATTATCATTCAGAGCAGGCTCTGGCTGAGGGGACAGTTACCAAGTAATTTCCTTGGGGGCAAGCACTATATTGGGGACAAGTAATTTTTTTTTTTTAAGATTTTATTTATTTATTTGAGACAGAGAGAATGAGAGACAGAGAGCATGAGAGGGAGGAGGGTCAGAGGGAGAAGCAGACTCCCCGCCGAGCAGGGAGCCCGATGCGGGACTCGATCCCGGGACTCCAGGATCATGACCTGAGCCAAAGGCAGTCGCTTAACCAACTGAGCCACCCAGGCGCCCGGGGACAAGTAATTTGAGAGTTGTCTAGGTCCTCTGAGAAGCTCCCTCCAAATAATATAATTTATAACATTTTAAAATTGAAACTATAACACGCACACAGAAGTGCCTAAATCTCCGCACAATATACTTGTGATTAGCCCCATTCTTTGAAGTAAATAAACACATCTGTCTGTAACTTCCCTTTCTCTTTCTACTGCAAATAAAAGAGATTCAGAATCGCTCCCCCTCCTCAGCACGCTCTCCTCTGACCCTCACTCCCACTCACAATGCCTTACATTGAGAGTATAGGATGAGCATTGATTTTTTTTTCCCTCTCAGGTTTATGGGGATTTGCTCTCAGAGGGGACAGGGAATCTGGGCTTTTCCAGACCCCAGAGTAATCAACCGCTGTGGTTCTGTCTGCTCTGTTGGCAGGATGGTGGCAGGGAAGGCTGAGCCGGCCATGCCAGGAAGGCTCTATGTCCACCCCGATTCTCCTGCCACTGGGGCCCACTGGATGCGGCAGCTGGTCTCCTTCCAGAAGCTGAAGCTCACAAACAACCACCTGGACCCCTTCGGCCATGTAAGAAAGAGACTGCCTGGCCTTGAGAGCCAGCCCTGGTGCTCAGCTGGGGGTGGGCTGGGTAGGGGTGGAGATGTGGAGAATCCACTCTGGGGATCCAGCTCCGGGCTTTGGCACATGCCGGGGCCAGACTGGGGAAGGAGCCGGGGTCTGAGTCCCACAGCAGTACATCTTTCCCCTCATACTTGCTGCCTGGGTAACTTTGGGCAAGTTTCTTGGCCTTTTTGAGCCCTGGTTTCCCTATCTAAAAACCTTTCGTGGTTGTAAGATTTAACTGAGAGAATATGCAGGAAGCACTGTGCACGTGGGAGGCTTTAAATACATGGCAGCTATCGACAAGGATGATGATGATGGGTCAAATCTCTCCACTTGGGTTTCCCCAAATTTGGCCTTGCTGGAGCCAAACACACGTTCACTTTCTTGGGAAAGAGTCACTGATGAGTTCTGAAGCCTCTCTTTGGTGTGTGCCTTCTGCTGGGCCTGGCAGCCCCTGCCCTCTGGAAGGGACGGCCTCGCCCTGGCCCTGGTGGCCGCTCCTTCCTGGCCTTGCCTGGGGCCTGGCTCTTATAAGAGAGACTCTGGAGCCCCAGGGATGCTGCCGCTGACGCCCCATCCAGGCTGCCGAGGCTCATTCTTTCCCCATCTGGCTCTGGCAGGCCCACAAAAAGCATTTTATGTGGAAATTTTTAGCTCAAGTGTGTGGCAAACTGAAGTCTGGGGACGTGGTATTATCCACCGGGGCACAGGCCTGGCCCCTCTCCGCTACCCGTCGTTACTCTGGAAGTACAGGGTGGGGTGGGGTGGAGCACGGGGGCCGTAGAGGCTGCTAGATGCAGTTGCCCAGGCTGCACATGTAATCCTCAGGGTGCAGCTGGTGGTAGGGGACGCAGGGGTGAGGAGGGGTGCAGGGATGTGCCTCTTTCATACCTAAGTTCTATTCCTGAGGAGTTGCATGCACATCAGAATCCTGTGAATCATAGTTCCTCATGGAAAATGCCAGCAATGGGTCATTTCTGATTGATTGGTATATAAGACAAGCAGCCCTTAGTTCTAATTTTCTGAGTCTGTTCCGTTCTCTTCTGAGTTGGTAATAAACAAGCAACTAGGAGAAAGCTTAATGAGTGTAATGAACTCCTGATTTTTCCGTTTTGCAAGGAGCCCAGGTTTTCCCATGCGAGGCAGGCAGGTGCTGGGGGTGTGTGGCAGAAAGGGGCAGCCCCAACTTCTCCTGGGGGTGGAGGTGAGCCACCGATCTAATGGGAAGAGTGGGCCAAGTCCCCACCTCCCAGAGCACGGGGCCTTTTAACCAAGAGACAGAAGGGCCTCCTGGGTCTTACTGGGCACTATCTTGGCCAAGACTTTGCTCCCCGTTGGCTCCTACCTGGCCTCCTCTGCTTGCCCAGGTCACGGCACCAACCTGGAGAGGTTAACGAGGGCCTCTGTGGTGGGAGTTTGGGACTAGCTGGCAGGCACGTGTCTGCCTGCCACTGTGGACAGGGCAGAGCTTGGCAAGAGCTGGATCTTTGCGTGAGCCAGCCTGGCTTGCCTCTCCGGTGGCTCGCCTGGGGTCCATAAGGGGTTTGCTGTAATCCCGCATATAGTCTTGAGTCTGAGCCGGTGGGGCTGCCTGAGGGGCTCGTGATGTCGAGGGTAGCCCTGGCTATATTCACCATGCCTGCCTGGAGCTCACCTCTCCTTGGCCATAGGGATACTCCCCATACTAACTCAGCTCTCTCTGCAGAGGGTTGGGATGCAGAGCATCTTCCTCCCCGCCCCTGCCCCCCCGCCCCCCGCATCTGCCCAGCACGAGCAGCTTATTGGTTACAGCACCCTATGTGCAGCGGCAGGACCTGGAGAAGAGGTGACTGTCCCAGGGGCTGGGAGTAAAGGAGCCGTCTTGGACCCACACCTGTCCCCAGGCCAGTATTCTTTGAGCTTCTCCACCCGTCTTTCTGTGCCCAGGGCTTGAGCTGTCAGATCTGCAACTATCTGGAGCATCCCTGGAGAGGGAGCAGCTTCTGACTATGAGGCAAGGGCTGTGGAGGATGGATTCCTAGATAAGCCATGTGGACCAGGGCTTTCTGCTCATTGGCCTGCACCGGTGGGAGTGCTGAGCCCTTCATCACCTTGCCCGGCTTCTCGGTGCAGGAGCCTGGGAAAGAGCCATGTCGGGCTATGAGTCTGCCCCCAAACAAGCCCTTCCTTCTGCATTGCTCACCTCCAGTGTTTCAGTTTTCCCTAAAATCTCCCGGACCTCGAGGAACTTTCTCAGCCAAATGAGCTTTGGACTTTTCCCCTTGGGTCTCCTAGTGTGTCAGGGATTTTAGCTGTTGCCTTTCATTTGCAGCCCTCCCTCAGGAGAAGGGTCCAGGGTCCCAGTGAGAGCCTGGGCTAGGCAGCTGGTCCTACATACAGGGAACAGGGACCCCTTGGACCACATGGCCCACATGTTCCAGGACCGGGTTTAGAAAACTCCTGGTGGATGTTTGCCATGGTCCGGGAGGGCCATCTGTTCCTTCTTGGGGTAGGTTCAGGGTATGACCACCGGTTTCTGGGAGTAAGCCCAAGGCCAGAGGAGGGGCAGAAAGGATCACGGGGGCTGGGCAGGACTGACCTGCTGCCTTAGAGCTCCAATTCAGCTCCACTTCTGTTCCGCTGTCTAGAGATGGGCAGGCGGCCCTTGCCTCCTACTTGCACCCCCTCCCACCCCCCCAGGGTCCTGGGCCAGGTAACCATGAAATGGTAAGAGAAGCCGCTTCGGGAAATTGAGGAGGGCCTCACCGAGGTAGGGCCTGCCTCCTGCAGCAGGACATGGAGATGGCTGGGTCTTACTTTTCTCCTGATCTGGAGGCAGGGAGCCGATGGCTGCAGTGGGGTGGGGTCTGTGTGTTTGTGTGTGTGTCTGTGTGTGAGAAGAGACACCTCTTATGTCCCAGGACTCCCAGATTGCTGAGCTGGAAGACCAGCTTATGATTTCTAACATAGTAAGTCTAACTGTTCCAGAGGCTGGGTTGGCTCCAGGCTGGGGCTGTAGGCTGCAGCCCTTTGGTCACCAAGTGGCACTTGCGTTGTCCCCTCAGTGTGCCACCTCTTCCTCTGACTACCTAGTTAGTTACTCGTGAGCCTTGGGATGCAAGCTCAAACGCCCCTTCCTCAGGGAGGCAGTTCAGGGTCCCCATGACATGCTCCCAGATTGCCATGCACCTTTCTGCCCTTGTACTTACCGCAGTTAGGATTTTATCTATTTAAAGATTGGATTTATTTATTTTAGGGTGGAGGGGTGGAGGGGGGGAGAGAGAATCCTCAGCAGACTCCATGATGAGCACAGAGCCCAGCTTGGGGCTCCACCCATGACCCCAAGATCACACCCAAGCCGAAACCAAGAGTCGGACGCTTAACCAACTGCACCTCCCAGGTGCCCCTAGAATTTTATACTTAAAAATCAAACTTGTTTTTGAATAGGAAATATACAGTCCCACGATTTAAAAATAAATCAATGAATAAAAAGTGTCTGTAATGAACCATTTTTCTCCTCTGGTTCCCCATCCACCCAGTTTCTTCCGATCCCGGCCACAGCTAACCATTGTTACTAATTTGTTTTTGGCATTTCTTTTTGCATATACAAGCAGAATACAGAATCTCAAATCCTTTCTTTTATACGCAAAAGGTAGCATACTATAAATGCTTTTTGTGCCTTGCTTTGTCAATAGTATAGCATGGAGATCATGCCCTTCACCTAGAGCTTCCTTTAATTCCCTTCCTTATAGCCGCATAGAATTTCATTGCACGATTGTTCCATCAATCATGTAGCCAGTCCTTATCGCAGAAATGAAGATGCCTATTTTTGCTCTTTCAATTAAACTTGTACCTATATCATTTTACACCCGTGTCAAGTATCTCTGTGTGGCAAGTTGCTTGCTCAAAGGGTGTTTGGATTTGTAATTTGCGGTTTCACCCTCCATCGGAGTTGTACTGATGGGTACTCCTGCTACCACTGTAGCCTCCCCGGCGGGAGGGAGAGACATTCTGGGCTTTTCCCAGTCTGACGGGTGAACCGTAGATACTGGTTGTAGTCTCAGTTTGTATTTGCTTTATTCTGAGTGAAGTTAAACATCTTTTTTCCTCTTCTGTGAACTGCTGTCCTTACCCTTTGCTCATTTTTCTCGCGGATTTTCGAGCACTTATCCATTCTAGGAGCTTTGCATAAATGAGGACAATCTGGCCCATATATGTGATAGAACTGCTCGTATGTTTTCCCGGTTTGCCGTTTGCCCTGTGACTTTGCATGTAGTGGTATCCCCACACAGAAGTTTTTGACTGAATATATTGCTCTTTTCCTTATGGATTCTGGATTTTGAGTAACTGAAAGCCCTTACCCACTCCTTACTTAGAAGGAAAATCTCTTGGGGTGCCTGGGTGGCTCAGTCGTTAAGCGTCTGCCTTCGGCTCAGGTCATGATCCCAGGGTCCTGGGATTGAGCCCCACATTGGGCTCCCTGCTCAGCAGGGAGCCTCCTACTCTCTCTACCCCTCCCCCTGCTTGTGCTCCCTCTCTCTGACCAAAAAAAAAAAGTCTTAAAAAAATGAAAAAGATAAAAATTGATAAGCTTTAAAAATAAATAAATGAATAAATAAAAAGATAAATGTAGTCTTTGGTCCAGTACATCTTCTCACTACTTACTTTTGCCTGATTTTTGGATTACTGTTGTGACTTCCCCCACTAGATAGGAAACCACGAGGTTTTAAATCACCCCTGTTTCCTTGTGCCTGGCACTGGGTCTGGCACAGTGGGTGCTGGTAAGCAGTAAGGGAATGAGGGAACCTGCTGCCGGGGGTGGGATTTAGCCAGAGAAGGCATGTCCTCCACCAGGGGCTGACCTCCCTCCAAAGCTCACGCTGTCTACGTGTCAGTGAGGACCCAGGGCTACTGATCTCCCTCTTTTCCTTCTTTTCTCCCACATTGCTGCACCCTGCACAAAATGCCGAGCCTTTGCTGGGTGCATTGGGAGATACAGCTGCCCCGTTCAACTCCCGATCAGGCCTGGTGCTCCGCAGCCAGGTATAAGTAGGAGCTCAGGCTAGCTTCGCCTCCCACTGGCTGTCTGAGGTTGGGCAAATGCCTTCACCTCCCCAAGCCACAGTCCCCCTCGTCTGCACCGAATGTGCTCAATAATAATGCCTACTTTATAGGGACATTGTAAAGAGTACTTAGCTCCTCAGCACAGGGCCTGGCACGTCGGCTATGCTCCGTAAACACCGCAGTGTCTCTGAGAGAAAGCAGAAGGCTTTCTGGGCCCCCGGGCTGCCGCCCTGGGAGCGAGGCCTAAGACACATCTGGCCAAGGCCTCGTGAGTTGGCTAATGGGCCGCCGGACTCAGTCCTAGTTTGGATAGTCTTTCAGCCAATCGCTTACCTTTCTGGGTCTCAGTTTCTCCTCTTTCCGTGTAAGCTGTAGACGAATCCTGTCCCCGTCCTTACCTCTTTGCAGGACTGGAGAGGGTAAGAAGGATGATGGAGAAGGTAGTCTTAGAAAGTAAAATTATGACGCAGGGGAAAATCTGGTTTTAATCTATGACACAATGGGCATTAGCCACACTTGTATGGCTAGCATCCAGATACACTGTGTTCTGTGGTGGACATCAGGGCCTGGTGAATCCTCGTCACTTACAGTGTTGGGTTGACCCTTGATCATTAATTTCTGAGCGTGCTGTTAAGAGCAGCGTGTGCTCTCTCAGAGGCCATCTGGGATCTTCTCGGGATTCTGTCTCCAACCAGCTATGTGCTCTTGGGCAAGTCAAGTTCCCACTACAAGCCTCCTGTTCCTCATCTGTAAATTAGGCGGTTGGACTAGAATGATTGCTGAGGTCTGCCTCTCCGTGCGCTAATGTTCTGTGATTCTAATGCAGATAAAGCTCAACCTCGCTGACCGAGCACGCTAGGGCGATCTCTCGAGGAGATGGACGCTTGGCGCTATCACAGTTTGTTAAAAGAGAACAGGCTTCTGAACTGCCGCCAGAGCATAATGAATCCCATTTCTGTAGAACAATGGTGGGACCAGTCATGTAGCAGGGTTTGTTGATGTGGCTGGTCTATTTGGCCCAACGTCCTCTGCCACACACATAAATGTGAGACTCTGGCAAAGAGATGAATGTGGTGCCTGAGGAACTTCCAAGTAAAGCCAGGTGTGAGTCACAGAGTTGGTCTCACACTCTCCTGGGCTGTCGGGGCTGAGGCGCCAGTTTAAGTTTGCGTTGGTTCAATGAGCGGGACTTTCTTCCAGACACCTGTCCAGGTTCCAGACTGCCCGAGTTAGGAGGGGTGTTTGGGACCACTTCTTAGTTGAAGGCCTCCCTTTACAGATAGGCACCCCAATGACTGGAGGGAAAGAGCTTGCCTAAGACTTGCTGCTGCTGAGCAGAGATCCATAGAAGCTTCTGGACCCTTCCTGACTTCTCTGTGTCTGAGATTGTACCCCCCTAGTGGCTCCTTCCTGCCCCTGCAGGTCTGGCACTTTCTCTCTTCCCAGTTTTCCCTGCCAGCCAGTCTGGGCCCCTCCCCTAGAAGGTGTGTTTGGCAATCTCTCCACCTCAGTCAATGGAGGACCTTGTCTGATAGGCTAAGGAGTTTGGCCTTTATCTCAAGGGGCAAGAGGGAACCATCAAAGGTGGCATTATGAATACAAGACATTTACTGAGCTCTAAATGCTGGCAGGGATGAGGGGAGGAGAACTTGGGAGGCAAGAGGAGGAAATACAAAGCAAGTGGACAGTCTTCCTGGATGAACTAGAAGGTTCTAAGCAAGGGAGTGACCTGATCTGATGTGTAGCAGGTGAAAATGGAGATGGAGACAGGGAGGAGGTTGTCGCAAACCCAGAGAGAGATTGGGGGTGGGCAGAATTGGGGCTGGGCAGTGGGAACGGAGAGGCTTTTATCTTGTGGATGGAGTCACAGGACTTGGTCACTGACTGGACCTGGAGGTGAGTGAGGAGCAGGGAGTTGATGATACCCAGGGCTCTGGCCGGACTGATACAGCCTAAGCCTCCCCAGGTGGCAGAAGAGCAGGGCGGCTGCTGTCACCTGGCTGACGGTGTCCTTAAGGGACAGCCCAGCCTCTCTGTGCAGGTGCCTGCATCTGCTGAGGTCTGTCAGTCCATTGTCTGTGTTCTCCCCGCCGTATAGGAGCCCGAGTGGCCAGGGCTAGCTAGTTCTGCCGCCGGGGAGCCGCAGCAAGCCTGCGCTCACGGAGAACTTGTCTGTGCACAGCTTTAACCTTGAGGTTTGACCTGAAAAATGCCTTGGAGGCTACCTTGTCTCTAGAGAGCAAAGGAAGATAGGAGAGGAAGGGATGGAGAGTTTGCGGGCATGGCCAGGTCTCCCCACTCCCGTAATCCTGCCTTGCACTTACTAGTTCCTGTCTGGGGGTAAAAGAGCCCAGAGGTACAAAAGGAGTAAAAGATACGGCTCTTTCTTTTTCTCTTGAGGCGTTTGCAGTTTAATTGAAGGGACAAGCAGAAACAGGAAGCCACTAGGAAGCAACACGACAGCCGAGTAGACAATGCGTGGGGGGGAAGTTTCAGAATCAGGGGTTCACAACAGGACCCAGTAATCTGGGAAGGCTTCCCGGAAGAGTTGGGCCTTGCGATGAAAACCCTAGAAGGTGAGAGAGAAGGGGAAAGGAAGATCAAGCAGAGGGAACCACATGTGAAAAGGCCCAGAGGTGGGACTCTGGAGGCATCTAGACCACCTCCTAGGGATTTAGTTTCTGGGTCTTCTGGGGACTTGGGTCCTTTGTGGACTCCTGCAGCTGGGGGACAGTGCGGGGTGACAGAGTAACCTAAAGGGACTGGGAGGCATTTCCCAAGACCCATTCCCCAGGCTCCTGGAAACAGATGTCCATGGAGGCCTCCCAAGGCAGGACTTGTGTCCACTCTGAGTTTGTCTATCTGGCAGGCTCCAGTTGGGCAGTAGGTCTCCAGCTGCAGGACCTGGCTGGGGGTTTGGGGTGCTCTGTACCTGCCCCGAGAGGGTCCAGAGGTTTGTGGAAGGGGGCACAGCCAGTGAAGAAGGCAGAAAAGCTAGCTCTGCTGGGTGGCGCAACCCAGCCAAGCCAAGGAGCCCAGGGAAGGCCGGAGGCCACAGCCCAGCTCCTGACCCACCTAATCCTCAGCTGCGCCTGCCCTCTGGGCTGTCTCTGTCCCCAGGGTGTGCCGAATGCGGCACCTTCCCAGACTAACGCTTCTGCCTGGGCATGCCGTGGAAGAGCCTGGTTCTGGCCCTTCTTGTGGCACTCTGGTCACTCAGGGATTTAGTCTTGCCCCGTGCCTATCCCTGGGAACCGGGAAGGGTGGGAGCCAGAAGGGCTAGCCCAGGAAGGGGCACCCCTAGAAGGAAAGGAAGGAGAGAAAGGAGCTCAGAGAATAATGGGGCCAGAGGACCACAGCCTTGCCCAGCCAGGACAGGAGCCAAAGGGTTAACAAAAGCAGCGGTGCTGATAAAATGCCCCAAATTCCTGGTCCTGCCTCCAATGGGGAGGGCGTCTGGCAAATGTCAACGATAAAAAATACATTTTAATGGCACATGATGCAGCCGCTACCGTGGGGCACGGCCGAATGAGGCAGGTTCGGAGCGGGAACTACTGTGTGTTACTCCCAGGGCTCCGGGGCCAAGCCTCCTGGGCTCTCCTGGTCTGGTGGGGCGACCTGCCTCCCCAGCCCCAGGCATCCTCCAGGGCCCGTAGATGCGGGGGGGGGGGGTGGCTTCTGGCCTTCTCTGGCATTATTTCTGGAACTTTGCCATCTCCTACCTTGGCACCTGGAACTCTAGCCCATGATGGAGCTTCCCTCCGGGCTGTGAGCAGCCTTGAGCAGGTCTGAGGGCAGGATGCATCTGGGAACCCCTTCAGCAGACCTCTGCAAGTGTTGAAACAGATGAAAAAAGTCGGAGTGGGACACTTTCCTCAGCTCCTCCCCCATGCTGCATACCCTGGCAGGCATCTCTAGGAAAGGCAGGTCTCAGGGCAGGCGTGAGGAGCGGGAGGAGCAGGGTGAAGGGGCAGCTGGAGTAGGAAACCTGAGGGAGATAAGTTATGTATAGCACCTTTCTGGCCTGTGCCAGGAGTCAGGCCCTGGAACCTGGGCTTTTAGGAGGATAAGAGCCAGCCCAAGGCCAGCTGACTGAGACCAGAGACAAGAGGGTGAGGACCTGGAGCTCAGAAAGAGACCCTTCTCTTCCAGATCATCCTCAACTCCATGCACAAGTACCAGCCACGGCTACACATCGTGAAGGCTGATGAGAACAACGCTTTCGGCTCCAAAAACACAGCCTTCTGCACCCATGTGTTCCCAGAGACTTCCTTCATCTCTGTGACCTCCTACCAGAATCACAAGGTACAGCCACCCCCCAGCCCGCGCCCCCCTCCACTGACCCTGCGTGGCATTTCTGTGCCTACTAGTAGGGAGGCAGGAAGGGAAGCCCCCCTGCACTGAGGCAGAGGCGCCGGGGACACCTGGGCTGTCCCTCAGAGCAGCAAGAAAGCAAATGCTGAGCAGGAAGAGAGACCAGACTCCTAAATCTCCAGTGCGAAGTCATTATGGGGATTGGACGAAGCTGGCAACTATAAGAACCAAGAGCGTGGAGCTTGTCTTGTGGCTTGAGTGTTGGGCCATTTTGTTCTATAACCTTCTTCGTCCTGGTGGGATTCAAAGGTCAGACTCTGGGCCTGCCAGGAAAAGGGAAAGAATTGGGGAAAGGAGGCTCAGGGAACGGTCATGTGTGGGAGCCCGGAGACTGAGCCTGTGGTCAGCCGGTGGTCAGACGGGTCCACCTCCCTCCCTGTTACACCCCCTCCCCTGCCTGACCACCCCAAACCACCTCCGGATCCCTGCACAGACCACTCTCCCCTGTCTCTCTGCTTCTGCCCAGGCAACCCTTCTCAGGGGACTTGTCACATCGTGCGAGGGACTGGCCAGGTGGGCTGGGGGGATTGAGGAGGGGCCATAGGCTGTGGCAGATTTCAGGCATTCAGGCGTTCAGAGTGACAGATTTGCATTTAGTACGGTCCCTCAGAAGCTGATGTGGCAGATGCCCTGGACGGGGTGACACAGATGGGAAGCTGTTAGAGGCACGCAGGTAGCCCAGTGGGGTAGGAGAACAGGAGACGGAATCAGAAGGTCTGCAGTGAGTAGAATGGACGGAAGCCAGCAAGGAGCCAGCCGTGAATGGTGAGCGCCGGGAGGATGCAGTGAGGCTGCCGGCCGGCTGGCTGAGGGCTGGGGTGTGCCCCTTCCCTGGACCCTGCCGGGAGCTCTGAACAATCTGGGACAGGGGAGGAGGGCCAGCAGCCAGCCCAGTCCTCTACCCCAGCGACTCTGTGTGTCCTCTCCTGACAGATCACACAGCTGAAGATTGAGAACAACCCTTTTGCCAAGGGATTCCGGGGCAGTGACGATAGTGACCTGCGTGTGGCCCGGTTGCAGAGGTGGGACTGCCTGGCCCGGGGGTGGGGGGGTAAGTGGGGGCGCAGACCGGGTTCAGGCCCACAGACCTGGTAGCCCTCCAAGTATCTTTACTCTCTTCCTGTCTCCCTGTCCCTGTCCTCCCCACCTCTCCAGCAAAGAATATCCTGTGATCTCCAAAAGCATCGTGAGGCAGAGGCTCGTCTCCACCCAGCTCTCCGCCAAGCCTGACGTCAGCCCCCTGCATGGTGCCCACCAGACGCTCCAGCACTACCAGTATGAGAATGGGGCTCACGTGCAGTTTGCTGCAGCTGAGCCACAGGACCTTCCCCTCAACACCTTCCCGGCACAGAGGGACTCAAGCCTCTTCTATCACTGCCTGAAAAGACGAGGTAGCTCTCTCCTAGTCCGGAAGCCCTAGAGGGTCAGACGAGCTCTTCCTACAAACACTCTCCATCATATGTGTGAACATGCACGCCTGTGTGGGCACATGCGTGTGTGCGTATGTGAGCATGTACACACACACACACACCTGGTTATCGTGTGGTCTGGGAGAACAAGCCTGGAGGGTTAGAGGCCTTGGCCCAGCTTAGAGCAGGGATGTTGATTCTTGATTTTAATGCAGCTTTCGGAATCCTCATGGACAGCTTGTGGCCTTGGTGTCCCCAGGACGCCGGTTGGTACCCCTGCCTAGTGCCCGGTGTTCTTTATATGCACTGCTCAGAGCCTCTGCGGGGTGGGCACATCACACAGAGTCAGGTGGACTCTGTCTCAGCCTGGGAGGAGGCTGAAGCCTCAGGGTCCAGAGGTATGGGGATTAGGGCTATCATTTATCAAAGCACCCTCAATCCTAAAACAGGGGTGACCCAGAGTCATGAGAACAGGCTCCCCACCTCATCATACCAGGATCTGCAAAGAGATTCCATTCTTGTGAATGGAAATCAGCTATGTGGATGTAGACTGGGGGCCAGGAAGCCAGGCAAAAGAACTGGTTTCGTTTTCTTTGGAGAGGAGCCCTGAGCATCTGTGCTCTGGTACCGGGTCTGGTGTAAAATTCTCCATCTATAATACAGATGATTATCATTTATACCAGAAGAACTCTCAGGGCCCCTGAAATTCTCTTGGGAATGAGTTGGGAGACTTTTCCTTAGAATCCAGAATGTTCTCTCCACCTAGCTCCTAGGGAGCTGCTGGTAAGGCTCTGGGTACCCTCTGCTCCAGTCCTATTAGAACGAATGGCCTAGGGGTGCCTGGGTGGCTCAGTCAGTTAAGCGGCTGCCTTCGGCTCAGGTCATGATCCCAGGGTCCTGGGATCGAGCCCCGCATTGGGCCCCGTGCTCAGCGGGAAGCCTGCTTCTCCCTCTGCCTGCCACTTCCCCTGCTTGGCTCTCTCTCTCTCTGTCAAATAAATGAATAAAAAAAAAAAAAAAAGAATGAATGGCCTAGAACAGGGGTTGGCAAACTGTGGCCCTTGATCCAAATCTGGACTGTTGTCTGGTTTTGTCTGGCCTGTGAGCCATAAAAAATGGTTTGACACTTTTTTAAGAGTTGAAAAAAAAATCAAAGGATGGTTATTTCATGATATGTGAAATTACACGAATTTTAATATCCATAAATAAATTGTATTGGAACACAGACATACCCATTTGTTTACCTGCTGTCCGTGGCCACTTTCACGTGACACCAGCAGGGTCAAATGGCTGCAACAGATTCCGTTACAGCCCACAGAGCCTAAAATATTTACTATCTGGCCTTTTCCAGAAAGAGTTTGCTCACTCCTGACCTAGAGTGACTGGGCCACGTTCCAAGTCCAAGAGCTTCATGCTCTTGAGGGAAAGGAGGAACTTGGAGGGAAGATAGAGAGGAGGGATGAATGAAGGATGACGAGAGAGCTGGGTAAGAGGGAGAAACAAGTTCCTCCTCTTCAGGGAAGAGGCTTCCAGAGGGGCAGAGGGAAGAGGTGAGTGCAGGCCCTCAAACTCAGTCCACTTACCCCCAAGGCCACCCTGCCCTGTGCACACACACAGCTCCCAGAATGAATCCCTGGAGAAAACTAAAGGAGGGAGGCCACGTGAAGCCATTGGACGAGTGTCCTTCAATTTGTTGAGTGGGCTGTTGCCAATCCTCAGGCCTGGGTCGTCCCTGGGTCCCAGGGGAGGATGTGCCACTCCAGACAGTCATGGTTGAGGACGTCGAAAGACACATACATATGGTGGTTAGGGGCAGCTGATGTCATCTTTCCCCAAAGAGCGTTATCAGCTTAGCCTTAAAAGTCCAAGTCACCTTTTACTTAGTATCAGCTCCATTTCTTAATTTTGTAAACACTGTTCAGTTGGACTCTGTATAACAACAATCTGCTGGGACTCCTTTGAACACATGTAGGGTTTACTTCCTCTTCTAAAAGCAATAGTAAGTGCCTGCGAGTAGCTTTGCCTTGCTAAGGCCTTCCTGGGAGCTGTTTCTGTTAAGGCAGAAACATTGTGGCTTTAATTTTCTGGCTCATTCAGACAGATGTGGCCTCTGGGCCTGTTTCGGCCTGGCAGTTGCCTCTACTTTCCTTGGCCAGGGTGGGCCTCACCTAAGAATGCCAGTGCACATTAAGGCCTCTTCCCATCCCTAAGAGTCACGGTGGCAAAGGATGAAAGCTATATGCTGCCTGGCTAACTACATCACTGGGTGTCCACTGATGTGGTGTCCCCTGCGGCCTCTGAGCAGGGTCCATAATCTGACCACTTCTTGGCTGCTGCCACCTTTTAAAAGCTGTAGCTGATTAAAATGATTCTGGAAGTGCCACGGCCACATGGGGCGAGGGCAAGGCCTGCATGACAATGGTAGGCCATCTTGGCATCCAAAAGGAGGGTTCCAGGCCCTGGGCTGGTGGAATATGGCTCTTCCTGAAGGTTTCTTTGTCTTCCAGCAGACAGTGCCCGCCATCTGGACCTACCTTGCAAGCGATCCTATCTGGAAGCTCCCCCTGCAGTGGGAGAGGATCATTATTTCCGTTCTCCCCCTCCCTACGACCAGCAGATGCTGAGCCCCTCCTACTGCAGTGAGGTGACCCCAAGAGAAGCCTGTATGTACTCAGGCTCGGGGCCCGAGATTGCCGGGGTGTCTGGGGTGGACGACTTGCCCCCACCCCCCCTGAGCTGTAACATGTGGACGTCAGTCTCCCCGTACACAAGCTACAGTGTTCAGACCATGGAGACTGTGCCTTACCAGTCCTTCCCCGCCCACTTCACCGCCACCACTATGATGCCTCGGCTGCCCACTCTCTCGGCTCAGAGCTCCCAGCCGCCGGGGAACACGCACTTCAGCGTCTACAATCAGCTCTCACAGGCTCAGGTCCGCGAGCGGGGGCCCGCCGCCTCCTTCCCGAGGGAGCGCGGCCTGCCCTCCGTGTGCGAGAGGAAGCCCCCCTCGCCACACCTGAATGCTGCCAATGAGTTTCTCTACTCTCAGAGCTTCTCCCTGTCCCGGGAGGCGTCCTTACAGTATCATTCAGGAATGGGAACTGTGGAGAACTGGACTGACGGATGACTCCCCTGTCCGGAGACAGCCCCAGGACCATGTCAATCCAGTGTTAACCTCTGTGGGTGGCCTGCACTACCGAGAAACGCAGGAAGGTATTTCAAAGGGCGGGGTGTCTGCGTGTATGTGTGCGTGTGTGTGTGCGTGCGCGCGCGCGTGTGCGTGCGCATGTGTGCGTGCGCGCGCGCGCATTGTGCGTGCGTGCGTGTGCGTGCATGCGCACGTTTGGAGAGCATCCGCCTTCCGACGTGCCGCTGAGGCCACGACAAGGGAAAGAACCGCAATTATCTAAGAAGTGACTTGGGCTGCAGGACCTGGGTCCACTGTTAGCTCACATCTCTTGACAGGTGCAGGGACGGGACGGCAGTGGAGAGTTCATGTGAGATACTTAGAGGTTTTGATAATATAATCTTTGATTCACTCAGGGGCCACGTGGTGAGGTCTCTCTCATAGGGAAGGTTGGGGGAAGACTCGAATTGCTGGGGTGGGAGGGCTCTGTGCACATCTTTGAGTTCCTGGCCTTCTGTTAGCAAGGGAAGCTGGAAATCTTGTCTGGGGAGCAGGGGGCCCACTCTCCTGGAGGTTCCCTGAGACATGCTAAGCCACAGAGTGTGCTCTGAGAGTAGAGCTCACGGCTCAGTCAGTGGCCTGGAAATTGATCCCTGGAGTCCTGAGGTCTGAGGGATGACTTTCAGAGAAGGTCATGTGCTAAGTGCCACCTGATGGGTATTAAAAATTTTTTTTTTTCCTTCAAGAGGAGGGAAAATGCAACCAATAGCATCTCTGTCATCATTCAGGTTTTCTTATATGGTACAAAGCCCCTCCCCTGAGCCCCCAACGTGCAGTTTCTCACTCTCTCTGGTGTACAAGACTCTCGGCCTCTCAGGCACCATCTGCATCCTATGACTGGCAATTATGAAACACACTTCACCTGGCAACGTCCCCAGGCGACCACACTGGAGCTGCTTGCCAGGCAGAGCCTGTTCTGCTCCCAGAAAATCCTCGCCTCTGGAGCAAGAAAGCCCAACAGAAATAAAAACAAGAATCGAGAAAACATTCATTTCTTCCAGTACATTTGGCCAGTGAGCTCAGAGGAGCGAGGATAATTCTCCAGTGAGGTGGATCGTGTAGTCCCCAGCCCAGCTCTTTAGCATTGAATATCACCAGACCATCCATGTGGCTGGTGTGAACTCTGTAATCAAATTTGGGAAATCACTAAACTCTTTGCATGCTGAATAGCTATTTATATATTATATAAATAAATAAATAAATCTCTCTCTCTCTCTCTCTCTCTCTCACAAATGCAGGCCACGTGTCAAATTCAGCTTTGCTTTTTACAAACGAATAAACTTAATAAAATGAACGCTGGAGGGGGTATTTGGAAAGACATCTATTTAAATTTTTATTACACATTTGATGTTAAAAACTAAGAATGGTTTAGATAAAACATAAATAAATAATATATATGTGTGTATATATATATATATACATAAACAGACACACACACACCACAGATTAAACTTTATTAGAAGACACAATAGCCAACAGGGGATATGGAACTTCCAAGTGTTTTGTTATATAGCATGGACATTTTATTTTACATACCGGAACATAAAGCCATTTTACAACTGTGAAGTGTGTGGATGCTCTTTACTACTGAATTGTCATTTCTTGGCTGAGCAATGGTCTCAAGTGTCCCTTTTGCTGGTATTTTTTTCTGCGCCTCTGAGCATTTATACCATGGAGCCTCTGAGCCTCGAGTCAAGGAATTTAGAGCCAACGGAACAATTGTACCTCTGATCTCATGCCACTCCCCAGATGACAGGTCTGGATTCCAGGGCCCACAAAGACCCCAGAAGGGCAAGGCAGACAGTACACCAGAATCCGTCCCCTTTCCGTAGTCAACACACAGCCTGGTGATTTGGGGGAGGTGGTCTTACAAGTAGGGAATTCTTGGTGGGATTTGTGTGGCTTCTTCAGACAAAGAACTGAAGAGCAGGTTGGAGTGAGAGCCTGGGGCTTCCTGGAGAGGTCAGATGTATGAGCTCCTCAGGCACCTGCACCCCAGAGAAAGGAATCAAGGCCTGGAAGAGACCTCTGCTTCCCACTCCTCAGCCAGATCCCTAAAGCATGGCCGCAAGATGGAGTAGAAAAAGGGGAGATGAAATTCAGTCCAGGTTCACCCTATTAGATTAGAAGAGAAGCTGGTGTGGAAGGTGTGTTGGGTCCCCCTCCTTACAACCCCTTGCCTCTTGCCTCCTCCCCTTTGCCGCTCCTTTTCCAAAGCTGCTCATTGTCACCCACCGTCTCCACAGCAGGCTGCTCTGGGAAGCCAGGAGAAGAGAAGGCAAGGATAAGGGCATTCTTTAAACCCTCATCTACATGAAGATGAAGTTTCCTGCTGGGTAAAAAGTCAGCCTTGTCATCTGTTTCCCCCAAGTCCTTCCCTGTGGCTTTAAGGCTGCTCTCTGGGGGAGACTCCTTCCTGCAGAAGGAGGCCAAGCTCCTTCTCTCCTTGGCTGTTGGTTCCCATCTTGGGTTCGTTGGTCACAGAGAAAAACTTAACGGAACCTGGCTTAGGGGATAGGGAAGGGGGTGGGCTCATCCTCACACCTGCTTTGCTCTTTTCTTTCTGGGTGAAGACTGCATTCTGGGATACCCCACACCTTCTAGAACCGCAGACAGAGGGCCAGGAGCTAGATGTGGGTTCCCAGGCTCTCTCCAGACACACAGTTGCCTGAGTCCAAGGTAAAGAAACTGTCTCTTAAGGGATATCCTGCCTCTAGGCGGCCCCTATCTTCCTACCAGCTTTCTGGGAAGCATGAAGTTCTTGGGCTTCCCCACCTGGGCACGGCTAGAGAGCAGGGCCTGCAGTGGGATTTGTGGAACTTTCCTGCCCCTCTGAATCAACAAGTCAATAAAAAGGGGGCACATGGGATACCCTGGAACAAAGGGCACCATTCAGTAGCGCCAACAGGTCATACATCATCGGGCCAGAAACCTGCCACATGAAAAGTGTCTGCTTCTACAGTGCCCTGCACTGTAGGGGGAAAAAAAAAGATGACTGTTCAGCTGTGAGGCCATAGACAGGCAGCAACCCCTCCCCACCCCCATCCCAACCAGGGCTCTGCTCTCTGGCCCAGGCCCGACCGCTCGGGGAAAGGGGGCTAGGCTCTCAGCTGCAGCTCGGCTACCCAACTGCCCTCCAACAACAGAAGAGCCTGGAACAACAAAAGGGAGAATGAAAGAGAAGCTGGGTCAGACTGACAAATTGTTAAAAAACCAAACCAACTTCCAGTCTTGGCTGGGCCTCAGGGGGTCAAGAGGCCTCGGCTCACCCCACTAATGGAGCCTGCTGGAGAAGTAGCAGCCCCAGCCTTGCAGTGTCTTATCTTACAACATAAAATTAAAACCCACTTAAAAGGCCGGAGGGCATGTTAACATTCCCCCTGCTGTCTAATTGAAGTAGTTCCCAGTGCAAAGGATTTCACTTGAAAGATGTCCCCCTCCGAGCCCCAGTTCTCCCGCTTGGCAGGCAGGGGAAGGGAGCAGGGAGGGAGAGACTGTCATTTCAAAAGGGCAGCACAAGCTCAGGCAGGAAAAGCATGGTTCTGTTGGCCATCCCCACCCAGGCAGCAGGTGGCGACAGCAAAGGTTAGGACGGGCTGGGTTGTTTTGTATTTTTAAAAAAAACTTACAAATTCATTAGCAGCTATGTCAGCAGAGGCCAGACTCCTGACAAGAAGCCCTGGTAATGATTCAAATATGGCGAGCCCTGCAGCTAAACCTGGCAGTTCCTGCAGCCGAGAGACTTCTATTCCGTCCCCCAACAACGCCATGCTCCCTCCTATGCAAATATATTACAGGTCTCGGAGGCATACGGAATCAATCAGGGACATCCTGTAAAGGTGATGAACTTGCGTTGGCCATCCCGAGTAATGGGAACCAGTCAGCCTGCAGCCGGCTGGGACTGAAAGCCAAGGTGACAGCTATTAAGCAATTGTGTGCCGAACAAAATGGCAAAGGGGCCGGGTAATCAATTCAATTTCGATGGGCAACCCAAGCAACTGCAGTGTCTGTCGTCTGTCGCAGCTGATTAGAGAGGCCGGGCCTGGAGCTTTCAATGCGAGCCCATCAGAGATCAGAAACAGGCCCGGGATGAAAAGGGGAAGAACTGTCTCCTGAGAAGCAGGCGTTGAAGAACTCTGTTTTATGTGACTGTGTTCTTCTTTCTCTCCTTGAAGAAAGAGGAGGAAAAAAGCGAGCAGTTTGGAAATTAGATAGTTTTCTTTTCAGCCATTTATCATTATGAAGGAAAGTAGACAGGGCAGGGGCAGAAAAATCTCCAGTGGGATTTCTGCGAAGTCTCACTAAGAAGGACCAGGTTTACACTTTGCAGCTCAAACAGCCCCTGCTTATTACCACAGCCTGACGGGGGTCTGCAGAGTGTCCAGAGTCCCTCTTGTCTAACAAGGGCAAACAGGTCCCAGCGCTCGGAGGATCACAGAAATTCTCCTGCAGAAACCCCAAACCACCAAATTGTATCATTTGTGAAAATTAAAGCCTGAGTTGGAATAATGGGGAGAGGAGGAAAATGGGAAAGGAAAAGAAGAGATAGAGTTGTATAAAGTCGCAGCGGGTGAGGCCCCCATGGGGGCCCTCCATTTCCCCGGGGCCCAGGTCGGGGCAGGAAGGGCCCTGGCTGTGTCTGCCCAAGGTCAGCATTGACCCCAGTCTGATGCTGGACCCTGGCAGCCTGCTTGAAAATTCTAGGCTTATGTTCGGTTCTCCAGGGCAGCGGGGCTCAGGGGGGCAGAGCAAAGGCACCCCCAAGCACAGAAGCCATGACGGAGACCAGCTCTGGGACCGAGGAGGGAGTGAGAGGCTTGTGAGCCGATGGCAAGCGATGCAGACCCAGGAAGGAGAGGGCCGTGCTGGAGCCCAAGGGTGGGAAAGAAGCATCTGAAGTAGGGCAGGTGGTGAAAGAGGAAGGGCTGATTTAGAAATGGAGGGCCCTGGGTGCCCATGATCAGCTTCTTCTTAAGAATTACAAAGGGATAATGAACTTGAACAAAGCTAACCTC